CAGGCCTGGCTTGTGAGCCATGCTCAAAGGACAGTGCCTTGCTAGCGGGAGGATGCTAACAGCCGCCATGCAGGCTTGGGCCTATATAATAAGGATCAACTTGTCAAAGTGCATCTTGAGCCAAAGAAAAATAAAACCAGGTAACAATCATATGTTGAATTATTTTGAGTTCATTCATCGGCATGGAGCTGCCCAAAGCCAGAGCATGGAGACAAACTTGTTGTTCTTGCGTGGACAAAGATTCTGCTTCCTTGGATTTCGGCTGAGACCAGAGCGAGGCTCTGAACCTCTCAGCCTACTTTCGCGCCAGATTCCATGGATTTCGGCCGAAACAAAAGCGAGGCTCCAATCCTCTCCGCCTGCTTTCGCGCAGAATCAGAATCTCCTGTTTCGGCCGAGACAAGAGCGAGGCTCCGATCCTCTCAGGCTACTCTCCAAAATTCTGGCTCCCCGTCAACAGTCCACAGCCGCGAAGGCCTCCTTCATGATGTGCAAAGCCTGCACAATGAATGATGTATGTCATGCTTAATCATGCCATGTTACAGACATCACACCGGAAGTTTATTTCAAATTGCTGCAATACCCTGTCATTCTCACAAGACAATGTGAAACTTTGAAAGTGCCTGAGGCCATGGGACACCCGCCGCCCACATCTTTGCGGCTGCTGCATACATACTCTGTTTGGCCGAACTTTGCCGATATCTCTGCAAATGCTTTTTGTTGGGTAACTCCTGCCGCAAAAGAAGTATGTTTGGATCCTGAGCTGAGGATGCATTCATGCGTAGCCAATCTCACATTGACATTGGATGGTTAGTATTTACTGCTTCAAAAAGAAAGCGTGGCATAGAGCCCGGGCACGGGGCGGAAAACGACCTCCGGCGTGGGCGGCCGTCCAGCAGGGCCACGACCCACAGACGGCCCAGGGGTTGCAAGAGCCTGGCTCACTGGCAGTGGCGGGGACCGAACGTCCGTCTTTGGAGCATCCCAAAAGGGGTGGGGAGCTAAGGGGTGCTCACCAGCAACGCCGTTAGGCTTTGTCAACAGCAGAATCTCGACGTCTCGTGAGAAACCTCGAGGAATGATTGGTGAAACAACCTCTTGAGTTATATAAACGAGGCCTTTGAAATAAAACCCATGACAGCTCACGCCGCTTTTCGCACCTAGTCAAGCACGTGATGGGATCCTATTGCCCACTCGCTGACTCGCTGACTATTGCTAACCAAACTGCAACATTTTGATTTGTCACTCGATGATGGCAGACACTGTGAACGTAGGCATGCTCTTGGAGCTTGGGCGGGGCTCCTTGTCCGAGTGGCTTGCTCTTCACCAGCTTTGTTGGCCACCCAACGCGGCAACAAGGGCTGCTTACGACAACTTGCTGCTCACTCGGTGGCGCTTCGCATTCCAGCTTGCTCGAGGGATGGCTCATTGCCACGCGAAGCAGGTCTTACACTGCGATTGCAAACCCAACAACATCGTGCTGTCCTTGGATGAGTCACACATCAAGGTCGCGGACTTCGGGTTGGCCATGCGCTTGGTTGACGGCAAAGCCCAAGCTGTTGGGACCCAGGTTTACACGCAGGGCTACCGACTGCCAAAATGCCGTCCGATGAAATGTCACGCTCGCCGCCTCAGCTGACTGCTTCGCCATTGGTTGCGTTGTCTTTGCGATCATGTGCCGTGAAGGACGTGCAGGCTGCTTCCATCTGTTTCCGCCAGCTGAAGCCTTAGCGCCCGAAGGCCTGCCTGCATATTGGGACCAGAAGTTGAAGGTGCGAATGACCTCATCACGGGGCTGACATGCGTGGACCCCAGGTCGCGGACGGACATGTTGGCAATGATGTCGGTCTGCTCTGCGCAGCTACACGTTGATCGCTAATTCTGCGTGGCGCCCATTGCCCCGGAAGTGCAGGATCTTGACGAGTTAGAGCTATATAGGCCTTCACTTTTGAGTGTGCTAAGAGCTATCGATCTGCTTAGTTTGAGCTTTGTTTGAGATCATTTGACATGGTTTTGAGCTCCAAACAAAAAGCGCCTGTGCTGCCAGCGCACTGGCCCAACATGGCTCGGATGACGTCTGCTTACAGTAGCACTAATTGTCTAGAGTGGGATGGTTTAATGTTTTAAGTGTACACAGTGAGAGAAGCAGATTGATGACGAGTTAGAGGCATATAATCCTTCATTGTTGAGTATGCTTAGAGCTATCGATCTGGTTCGTTTGAGCTTTGTTTGAGATCATTTGAGATGGTTTTGAGCTCCAAAGAGCAATCGCCTGTGCCGCCAGCACACTGGCCCCACATAGCTCGGATGACAGACCTGGTTGCATCAGCACTCTAAATTTACAGCGAGATCTATCGTTTATCTTCAAATTTCTCAGAGGAGCAGACGTTCAGCCAGATTGATCGCTAGTTTTGCTGTGTCGCCAATGCCCCGGAAGCGCAGGAGCTCGACGAGCTAACGTTCTGTCTAGTTATGTTTCGGGCTTGCAAACTCGGGTTGTTCGAGTTGTTTTTCAAATTATTCGAAGCACCGGCGCGCGTTCTGCCGCCTTGTTTATTTACATACGTTTTGAACCTGCAGAACTCCCTCAGCCGGGTAGTTTGTATCGTAATGCGAGACCCTAAACCTGAAGCATTGTTTGCGCTTGGCTGTTTCAGTGTGGCAGCAGAAAAAAAGGCAGCGTATATCCCAGCATAGAACGACGCATTGTATCATTCACTCTAAGTTCGAAAGAAAGTTACTTGTCCATCAGTGTTGAGGTTTGTGGCCGAGATTGTGTACACAAATGACACGTTGAGGATCCTCAAGATCTCCACCCCCGCGACTTAAAGCTAAGGCTAAAGCCAAATCCTCCCAACCTGGGCCATGCGGCATTTGCGGAATCTTCGAGGCCGGTGGACATCCCGGAAAGGTTTCTGCTTTCACAGACCCGGGGCAGCTGGGAGGAGGAGCCCAGCTTTGTGCATCGTCTTCGAAACACCGGCCTGGATCCCTAGAAACCAGCGACAGTATGCGAACTCCAGAAGATTGTGGGCGCTGTTCCCCAGTTGATGTCAGCAGGATGACACCGCACAAGCGTTGGTCTTTTCATGCGCATAAACCGTAACTTAGCCCTTGCTTAAGCACCCACCACAGTGTGAGCAGGATGACACAGCATGATTAGACGTTTTCATGCTCGTCTCAAAGCCCTCAGCACAAGGTGACTCTGGTTTGCTAGAGCGTTCACCGTAACTTCGCCTTCAACAACCCCTAGTACGCAGCATGTAGCGGTTTTTGTGTTGTCCAGCCTGTCACTTACCTGGCCTAAATACGCCGCATTTAGTGACTTGCTGCTTTGCAACATGTGACTTAACTGGCCTAAATACGCCGTATTTAGCGGCTTGGTGTTGTCCAGCCTGTCACGTCACCAGACTAAATACGCCGCATTTAGTGACTTGGTGTTTTGCAACTTGTGGCTTAAAGTGGCCTAAATACGCCGTATTTAGTGGCTTGGTGTTGTCCAGCCTGTCACGTCACTAGCCTAAATACGCCGCATTTAGCGACTTGGTGTTTTCCAACATGTGACTTAAGTGGCCTAAATACGCCGTATTTAGCGGCTTGGTGTTGTCCAGTCTGTCACGTCACTAGCCTAAATACGCTGCATTTAGTGACTTGGTGTTTTCCAACCTGTGACTTAAGTGGCCTAAATACGCCGTATTTAGCGGCTTGCTGTTGCCCAGCATGTCACGTCACTGGCCTAAATACGCCGCATTTAGTGGCTTGGACCCCCCTTGAACCGCCACGTCCAGCGAATTTGGGGCTGGTAACCGATGATCAGGCAAACCACAAGCCTGTGATCTCTGCAGTAACTTTGACGCCCACTCCACCCCCCCAGCACCGGCTGCGCCCAGCACGGAAGTGGGGGGGGGATCGGCAAGCCACTACAGACGCCCGTATATTTTTTATTATCGGATAGCCTCGTTTTTCCTTTTCTTTTCCAAACATCCAAACATATACTGTCTAAACTTACACCGCGCTAGACGTTCTGTCGCATGTCTTCTATTTCTAGCAAGTGCTGAAACCACTTTTTTTTTTCCCCCATATCCCCCCCCACCCCCCACCCACATGTCCTCCCATTCAGCTTCTATTTATAACCTCTCTTTTTTTTTTCATTTCTTTTCTTTTCTTCTTCTGGTTCTTGTTTCCTTTTTGTTTTCTTTTTTTTTTTTTTTTCGTTCTTAATAATCCAAAGATGAAATTATTTGCAAATCCTATCATATATCGTTTCTAGCAAAGAAATCAGAATTTATGAATTCAAGAAATTTCAATCGAGAAAACGAGTAATATAGAGATACGGTTCTCTGTTGCAGGCGAATGACCAGTATCAAAAAGGGATCTTGAAATTGAAAAGGAGACGTTCAATAATATCTTTCCAGCAGATTCGTTCAATCGTATGCAGAGCTAAAACATGCAGTTCTGCATGTCGCATACTCCAAATTCTATCCCCAACTTGTTGGGACCGGAAAGATGGCAGGTCATGTTGTCAACGAGCACAAGCCCGAGTTGCGTCGCGGCAACGCAAGGATCAAGATCCAGAACCAGGTCTTCTGGGGAATAGCATTCCCTACTTCCTGCATTCCACAGCGGCCAAAAGATGGAACTTGGGCCAAGGCAGCACAAAGGACGTTCAGGTCGTGACGAGCTGTGGATCACCTTCTGCCGTACGTCACGTGTGGCCGGATCGTGCGGATGGCCCAACGTCGCCGCTGACAGTCTTGTTCTCCTGTATCCTGGGATCTAGCAGTCCATCTGCTGTGTAAACATTTCCGACCTGAAGATGTTGATCCGCCATATGGCACCCACCGGCACTCCTGATGCAGCTGTGCCGCGGCACGCGGCAGGTGCTGTCCTGCAAAACGGTGCCCTGCCTTGTGGAAGACCAACGAGTCACATGGAATCCCTGGTCATCGTAAGGCTCCTGGGTCAAAGAAGATCGTCAACTCTCCGACCATGTCATGCTCTCAGGCACGAATACCTGGGCTGAAAAGGGGACGCCGAGCCAGCTTCTCTCCCAAACTGGGCACCCCATGCGATTGCGGGAGGGGATCCATGAAATCCAGTCGCGTCTGACCCAGGGCTGAGCGTGCCAGGGATGGAAGCAGCTCCTCCCCCAAAAGTGTCAACTGCCCGCCTTTCAGGTCGTGTCCGTTCAGGGCGAGGAGTGTAAAACCCGGGAGTACTCCGGATTGTCGCGCTTTGCCCTGGGAAGAAACAGCCACCACCACGATGGGTGCACCTGAGGAGATAGTAAGCTCCAGGCATGTTCCACAACCGCAGACACTACAATCGGGTTTTGTGCGTACAAAGTAGCTGCTCATGTGTCTATGCACTTCTGCAATTATGTAGTCAACTATTCTATGTTTACGCTGGTAGGTATCTTATTCATGTGCTTGGTTCTTTCTTTCTTCCTTCATCGGAGTGCTCCTTCATGCTTATACACCAGGTGTTCAATTTTTGTCGGTTACTAGTTGCCAGTATGTTTCAGGTTGTATGTGTGTATATATATATATATATATATACACTAGTGTAGCATCGAACTGAGTGCACAAAAATCAATACACACTGCGCACACACAAATCAGCTACGCAAGTAGAGGGATACTGATTATAAGGAACCCCAAGTAAGAACTGCCAATATCAGTCAGGTTCCCTCTGTAAGTCTATCAGGATATTCGGGCTTATAGGGTTAAGGGTTTAGGGGAGTAGGATATGTCCATTAGGGCTTACAAGGTTTAGGGGTTTAGGGAATTTTTGTTAGGGCTTCTAGGTTTTGGGGTATAGGGTTTAGGGTTTAGTGCCCCAGAATCCGACTCTCATGTTCACTCAAAGCCCCTATATTGTACCCCAGCCTGCACCGCCGGCCAGTCGCAAGTCCTGACAAGCCTCCGCCGCTGATCCATAGCCTTTTTCTACTTTAGGGTTTGGCCCCTATTTTAGGGTTTAGGGTCTAGGCTGAGGGTTTGGAGGGTTAGGGTCTTTAAACTTTAGGGTTTAGGGTCAAGGCTGAGGCTGAGGCTTCGCACACTTTCTCAGAAAAAAACTGCTGTACAGGGCTTTCTCACGTCTTTGTAGAGTTGCACAGGGACAGTCGGAAGTTCTGTAGTATTCGGAAATAAAAGGTTCATTGCGATGCGGACATGTGTAGAGCTCACACCTGCAAATTTGGGCTTCGGATTTTGACGCTGGTTTCCAGTTTTACTAGTACTAGCCTTGCTGGAGTACAGAAGGCAGAAATTATCGTTACTGGACTATTCCCAGTTGCTTGAGGGCTGCAGATGGGATCTCGCTTTCTTTGTTCGAGTCAACACTGGGTTTCCATGCCCAGCACTGCACTCATGGTTTGTCGAGATGCTGAATTCCCTGACCCAAGAAGACTTTACTGTTTAGTTCTGCTAGGATACGGATGCTTCTGAAAGTACACGAAACACATACTTCACATACATGATAGAGTATCATATGTACATAAATCTACATATCTACACAGAGATACTGTGCAAATACACCCCAAGATGCTCAAGCTCACAGGTTACCCCCTACGCAGCTCGGCGACTAACCCTAAACCCTAAACTCTAAACCCTAAACCCTAAACCCTAAACCCTGAACCCTAAACCCTAAACCGAAGCCTCACTCAGAGGACTCCGAGCCCCCGGCTGAGGTGTGCACAGCCCGGGATGCTCACGGGCACAAGAGCCGGCTTGCCTAGGATGCCCAGGAGCCTAGGAATAAAAAGGGCTCCCTTTTTGGTATCGGGTACCTTCCTTTATAATATAAGAACCTACTAGGATACCCAGTAACCTAAGAATAACAAGGGCTCCCTTGTTGGTATTGGGTACCTTTTATAAGGAACCTAGGACTACAAAAAGGGAATAAGGGTACTACTGGGCATCCGAGTTGCTCAGCCGATCCCACACTTCCTGGAGCTGCCATGCTTCGGGCACGGCGCTGCCCATGGCTTCTGGAAGGGCTGGCAGTGTGCTGGGGGCGGGTGGCGCAGCGGGCGGGCTTGGGAGCGAGCTGGCATAGCCCGAGCCTTGCGCACCTTCCGCTGTGCCCATCCAAACCCTCTCCACGCGCGGGGGCCCCAGCTGCAACCCGTCCTTGAAGCGGACCACATGTCGGGTGAAGGTGCCCGCATCGGGCTCCGGGACGACGCGGCTGTTACGCCACCAGCCCCACTTTGCAGCAGCGCTGGGCGTCGGCTGGAGCAACTTCTTCGGGGCTGGGGGTGGTGGAGGGCTTTCCGGTGCAGTGGGTGCTGCCGGTGCTTCCGGTGCCGTAGCTTCTCCTGGCGCTGCTGACGGATTCTCTTGGTCCGGTTCTGCTGGCATTTCTGGAGGTCCTCCTTCCACCGGTTCTTGCCTAGGCTCTTGTTGGGGGATCTAATCTAAGGTGCCAAAATTTAGGGCTCCTTTAAGGGATCTGTAAGGGTTTAGGGTTAAGGGATTTCATATAAGTTACCATAATAAGGAAACTATACTAGTAACTATAGATCCCTATTATGGTAACTCAAATCTGAAACCTTAAACCCTTAAAGGAGCCCTTATACATCCCTTAAGGAACCCTTACAGATCTAACTTAACCTAACTTCCTTAATAAGAGCCCAGTTGCAAACCGGGGACTTCTGGAACAGGAGGCAGCCTCCCTTCCGGGATCTCTTCATGACTGAACAGCGCCGCCAGCTCCTAAACCGCAGGCCCCGCGTCTTGCAAAGAGAAGACCGAAACACTCGAAACATTGTCGCTTGAGGGTTTGGGGCGGCTACAGTCACAAAGGCAACAGTACCCTATCTATATCTGCATATCTATCTATCTATATATATATATATATATGTAAGTATGTACACCTGCACTTAGATGCACACATACATACATACATACATACGTACATACATACATACGTACATACCTGCATACGTCCAGACACGCACATCCATCCATTCATCCATCCAGCCGTCCTTGAATGCATGCATGCATGCATGCATGCAGGCAGGCAGGCAGGCGGGCATACAGATAGGTAGATAGGCAGGTGTGTGTGTGTGTGTGTGTCTCACTAATATGTGTGTACATATATACATATATATATATATATGTGTGTATGTCGTTGTTTATCTTTATAGAAAACACCCACGCGCATTATGTGACTCGCATCTTCGCCCCGCTCGGGCGGTCCTGATGCTGCTTCTTGAGTCCTTCGTGCTCCTTCTGCAAGGTCTCATGGATGGCTTTCAAATGCTGCAGCTCGAGCTGCGTTGGGCTTGCCTGGCATCATGAAAAGTTGAGGGTCTAGGGCCTAGAACCCTGAAGCCTACACAGTCAACAAGGGAGGAGACACTTCGTCGAGGATGCCAAAGCAACGAAACAAAAAGTGTCAGCACCACCAGCATTATTTCGTTGTTGGGAATAATGACATTTAATAGCAACATGGGTAACGGTTTCAGGTACGGTACTAAGTCCCCCGACCCTCCAAGTACCCTGTGCTCTTCAGGGTTTAGGTTTCCATTAAGGCCAGGATCAACGTGGTACGTCCGACCATCTTCGCGGACTTTCTTTCTAACCTCTGGTTGAATTCGGGGCAGACACCGCAGAAAAAGACGCCCAACTCCAAACCGCTAGGCGCAAGTTGCCCGAAGACTCTTTTGAATGAACGCTCATAGTGACCTTATCAAGCTCTGTCTGAAAATCGAATATGAACAGCCTTGTCTCAGCATCACATAAGACATAAGCACTCATCAGCACCCCTCAGAAGCCCAAACACAACCTGTTGAAACCGAATAGAACCACCAGAAACACCCTCCTCCTAAACCCTAAATCCTAAACCCTAAATCCTAAACCCTAAATTCCAAGTCCTAAAGCCTAAGTCCTAAATCCTAAGTCCTAAGTCCTAAGTCCTAAATTCTAAATCCCAAACCCCTAAACTGGAATCCCGGCACCTCCTCCATCTCTTCTGGCTCGGCAACGTCTGAGCTTCGCCACTTCGCCAGGCGCCCACAGGCACGGCGGCTGCGGGCTCCGCGCCGGAGGCCTTCTGAGGGTTTTTTGGGTGTAGGGTTTAGGGCTTCAGGTTTAGGGTTTATCGGCTTGCTAAGGAGTTTGATTTGGGTTTTAGGTTTTAGGGTTCAGGGTATAGGATTTAGGAAGATACTGAGGCTGCGTTGGGGTAAGGGCGCTTCCGGTCGCGAACGGTGTGATGCGGAGCTGTGCTCGCACAGGTTTGCAATTCTAGATTTGGCATGTCCCCCCCCTAAACCCTAAACCCCATACTCCACACCTCAAGTCCTAAACCCTAAACCCCACACTCCGAACCTTAAGTCCTCCACCCTAAGCCCCATCCGCTAAACCGTGAGCAATATTCTGCCCACACTTTGAATTGTAAACCCTCACACCCTTAATTCCTAAACCCTAAAGCCCTAACCCTAAACCCCCAAACCTCTAAAACCCTAAACCTCTATACTCCTACACCCTTCACCCCTAAACCCCTAAACCCTAAGTCCCCACCCTCAAGCGAAGGTCCCAACGACACTGAACCGCGAAGCCCAAAAGCCCACCTATGGGTGGTTGTCAAAATTGTGGTCCCTTTTTGGGTACCCTAAATATTAGGTGCCGTACTATATTAGGGACCCCCCAAAAAGGGTAGTTTTGACAACCACCCATACGTTTAAAGCTTAAGGTGTCGTGATTTAGGGGTTTCGGGCTTAGGGGTTTAGAGGGTTTAGGGTTCAAGCCTCAAGAACCTTCTTGGCCAGCATCCTGGGGGAACTCAAGAAAAACCTTTGAGAGTATAATGGGATTGTATAGGAATTTTTATACCACAAAAAGGGTAAAGGTTACCTACTCTACAGGCTATACAGGCTAATACTCAAACAGGGTTTGGGTACCAGACACTACAAATGCTAATCAGTAATGTAAGAGGATATTGCTTCCAAGTGTAAAAGGAGGGACCCCTAGGTATCATAATATAGCCATTTTATACCCATTATATATCCCATTATAGGGTAGGGGTCCCATTAAGGGTCCCTCCTTTTCCCCTTTGATTGCTGCTGATTATTACGACCCCTGCGGCACCTGATTCACAAATCTCCGAGAGAAGGGTCTCCGATATCGGCGCCAGCAGCCGAACTTGCTCCTCTTACAAAATGCACCGAAGGCTACAAGGTTAAGAGACAGTTTAGGGCTTGCGTTTAGAATTTCGGATTAGGGTTTGGGGGCTTTAAGGTTGAAAGTTCAGGGGATGGGGGTCTTGCGAAATCTCCCGTTTTCAGACTATCAGTTTCTCATAGGCCGCGCTAAACCCTAAACCCTCACCTGGTGAATCACTTTAGGGTTTAGGGTTTAGAGTTTCGGGTTCAAGGGTTTGGGCTCGGGATTTAAGACGAGGTACCATGAGGAGAATCACAGCGATCTTGGGCTGGTGCTAGAACTTGGAAGCAGACGGGAACCAGACTGAACATCACAACCGAAGCCACCATACCAAAAACCACGGCGAGGGAAAATTGCTGTCTAGGACCGAGGACGACATTCATCCGCACCCGCATCCTAGTCGTCATCATCGGCCTCGGCATGCCATCATTATCTTCATAACCAGTATGCTGACATTAGTCCTGCACGCGTTACCACAAACACCATGTCACGACTGAACCGTCTTCAAGAACGGCAGCAAAAGCTTTGTCGGAAGGTTCGATGTGCTGCACGTTCTGTAGCTGATGCGGCACAGCACTGCTGTCACCACTGCCAAGGGCAGAGCAGTACCACCACCACCACCACCAACACCACCACCACCACCGCCACCACCACCGCCACCACCGCCACCATCACCACCACCACCACCACCGCCACCACCACCACGACCACCACCACCACCACCACCACCACGGCAATCAAAGACACAGTGCAGGACAGAGCAACGCTAAGAACCAGTATATGCTCAGAACAACACTTGTCGAACAAGGTATACGCAAGAGAACCACAGCAGCTCAACCACGACGGATGACCGATGCGTGACACCATCACGAGTACGCGAGTAGGCCACCACATGTCCGTTATGCAAGCCATGAACAACATCATCATCATCATCGTCGCCGTTTTCATCAACTACTGTAACTACTACCTACTACGACGACAACTATTACGACTGTGTCGGTCACCCAACCTTCCTCTTCCTAAACCCTAAAGCCTAAACCAACTGAACCCCGAAACCCCGAAAGCCCCTTAAAACCCCTAAACACCCTAAACCCCAAACCCTAAACCCCTACCCCCCTGAAACCCTAAACCCTGCCAGCGCCCGCCTTAGCCGCCTCCAGCAAGCTCAGGTCTACATCCGCCTCAAGCCACGCTTTAGGGCCTTGAGGGTTTAGGGGTCGGGGGTTTAGGGTTTAGGGGTTTAGGCTTTATGAGTTTACGGCAGCAGCACAGGCGATTCGATCAGGGGAAAACGGGAGAAGGGTACTAGTGGGTAGGGTTTAGGCTACGGTTTAGGATGGCTTAAGTTTTAAGTTCAGCGTTAAGGATTTGGAGTTTAGGGTTTAGGAAAGGGGAAAATGGTACTAATCATTCTGCGAATATGGCGAAAGATAGAAAGCCCAGATTGATGAGCATAGATATGGAAAGGCGACACTGACATGGTATGGGGATACCGATCCGGGATACCTGCTGTCGGTTGCCAGGACCACCACAGTAAACGCGCTAGCTTGCGTATGTCTAGATCGGGAACACAAACGCTAAATCCTCATCTGTCTCCGTCCAGGGGATGCTCTTCAGCATTTGCAGGCAGTGCAATGCACTTTTTCGCGAATCCGGAGAGACTGCTGGTGACATTACGTTATAGGCCCACACCATTTCGGCGTGAAAAGTTGGCGCTCCGATTCTAGGTCCTGGTCTTTTGCCTGGCAGGACGAACCTCACTGCCTCAGCCATCGAGTCAAGCTGGCAAAAACCTGGGCGTTGAAGTAACCAGGGAGAAAAAAGTATAGACGTTTATTTCATAAAGGTCCCCTTTGAGTAACAGTTCCCAAAACCTGTATATAAGCCTAAACCCTAAAAGTATGAAAAGCCTAGAAACTCTTGGAATCCTCCCACCATCCAAAGATCCAGCAAGGCTCTCGATCGCCTGCTGGAACTAGGGTTTAGGATTTGGGGTTTAGGGGTTTGGGGTTTCGGGTTTAGGGGTTTAGGGTTTTAGGGTTTAGGGTTTAGGGGTTTGGGGTTTCGGGTTTAGGTTTAGGGTTTAGAGCTTAGTCACTATGACTTCATGAAGGGGATCACTCACAAACACAATAGTTTGAAAGAGTTGGAAAACCAAAGTGAAGATCCACAACACTTGGGGCATTCCCTGCCTGTTGTTCATATGTCTGCTCAGTATGGACCGCCCTTTCCCGCGAAGCCGCCTTTCATGGCTGAGTAGCCGCAACCACCGGCTCCGGCACCCATCCCCATCGTGGAGCCACCCCAAGTGCCACCGCCTTTGCCCCAGTCACCACCGCCCTTGCCCCAGTCGCTGCCACCCTTGCCCCAGTCGCCACCCTTGCCCCAGTCGCCGCCCTTGCCCCAACCGCCGCCCATGGCGCTCCACATCGTCTGCATGAACTTTCCCTTCATGGCCCCCTTCATGGCCCCTTTAGTGTGGCGCTGCTCCTTCGGCGTCGAGAAAACGATGGACACTGGGTTGACCAATCCTTGGGGAACGTTGCCGTTGACCTGGGCTCTTGTTAAGAGGTTCATGTGCCCATAACTTGGAAACCCAACTGTTTGCCATAGCTCCTTATTAGGGCAGCTTAGACCAAAAAAACCCTAAACCCTAAACCCCTGGCAAGAGCCCAGGGACATGCTCCACGATCCACTTTGCATCTTCAACAGTCTCCATGAGAACGAAGCAAGCTGCTGCTGTTTTGCCTGGTGACACCGGGAGGACGTTGGTGCTCTTCACCTGGGCTTTGGAAGTACTTGGAGGTTCGGGGGACTTAGTAAGTAGGTAGTAAGTAGACTTATAAGTACCCTAAAAGGGACCCTAATTGGGGTTATGGTACTTAACATAACCAGTTACTAAGTCCCCCGACCCTCCAAGTAACCAAGGCAAAAAGGCATAGACCTTTATTTCATAGCTTGTTCCCCTTTCAGGAACAGGTACCAAACACCATAAACCCTAAAAACCTAAACCCTACCTAAACCCTATGGCACTCCAATGCCCAGATATACCACCCTTACAGAAACCCTTCTAGATCCCTTTAAGGAGCCCCCAAAAAGGACCCAAAGTATGGTACTCCCTATATAAACCCTAACCCTAAACCCTAAACCCAAAACCCTAAACCCTAAAACCTAATCCCTAAACCCTAAACCCTAAAGCCTAAAGCCTAAACCCTAATCCCTATATAAACCCTAATCCCAAAACCCTAAACCCTAATCCCTATATAAACCCTAAACCCCAAACCCCCAAGGCCAAGTCTCTGAGCCATACTGGCTGAAGATGGTCTTGGCCTGCTCACTGCCTGGCAGCCGAACAGAAGGAGGAGTGACCCCTTGTAGTATTTGCTTAAGAAACCACCAAAAAATTAAAATAATAATCCCTATATTACCCCCATAAGGAATATATTTTTAATTTTTGGGTGGTTCTTAAGCAAATAGTAGCCTTGTAGTATTAGTTCAGGGTTTAGGGTTTAGAGTGTTTGTAGTATCGATAATAATTGTAGTATCTATAGTATTTCTAGTGGCTATTGACGATAGTATGAGAGTATGTGTAGTACTGAGAGCATTATAGTATGAGAGTTTTGTAGTATTCTAGCCCTGTAGTATCAAAGGCTAAGTCCCTAAGCAGCACAGCAAACAACAGTTTCTAAAGTCAGAAGCACGAGTTACTGCAGTCCATCGGGAGTCCGGTCACGAAGAGCTCCTCCCATGGAGCCACCTGTGTCGCGGCAAGTGCGGCGGCCATTGTTGGTGCGAGAGTCACACAGAACCTTCAAGTGAAAGAATGACCAGAGACAGGTGTTTAGCTGATGTTCCGGTGCATGTCAAACTGTAGTTAGAATGCATGCTGCGACATGCAATGTCGCTACACATCACGGAGGCAGAAGAACCAATCGTCTCTCTCTCCTGTCTCAAGCCATGGGCGAGCGAGGTGTTTGAAGCACGCAGATGCCAACAAATCCTGCACAAAAATATCTCATGTCTCATCTTCCGGCTGCTCCCGAAACCAGGATGAATAAAGGGTCCCTTATTAGGGCATTATAGGGTTCCGGAATAGGGTCCCCTTGTCGGTCCCTGCCTCGACCTACACCCTCAGAAGCCCTGACAGTCGCCTAAGACGCAGTCCAAAGCGCCAAAATCCCTAAACCATGAAGCCCTAAGCTAAAAGCCAGAAAGTTGGAACATGATTATCCTAACCCTTCTATGGTAAATTATAGGGGATCCTACCATGAAACCATATTCCAACTTTCTGGAGTTCCCTTTAAACCCTGAGTTGTAGCTTAAGGGACATTAAAAAAATTCCCACACTGCCACCTAGAACCCCACAAAGCTCTAAACCCTAGACACCAGCCTCCACCCTGAAGCTCAAACAAGCCTAACATAGGGGCCGAAACAGCTCCCTGTGCTCTTTTGGAGTCTCCATGTTATAGATAGTGATACAGTATAACAGAGCAGCCGAGCTTTGAACAACCGCGAAAATTTCGATCCCACCCAGAGACACCACATCCTAAGCCCTAACCTGAACTCACTAACCCTTAGTATTGGGGTCGGACTCACCAGTAAGGCTATCCCAAATTAACTCGTCAAACAAGACAACCTGCACCAGACTACATCGGAGCAGCGATACATGCAAGTAGCATAATGGTCACAATAGTACTAACGGAAACACACCTAGTAGCAATAGCGACGACTATAACAACAATCACAAAAAAGCGTAACACTAAAGCTGATGATACGACTACCAAAAATCATGATGATCATACTAAGAAGGACAAAAACAACAAATCCAACGTAGCACTCATACTGCTACTGAAACTGACACTAATACAGATATTGATTCTACTACGAACACTACTCCGAACCCAACTCGTCATAACACCATAACTGAGGCTGACGCTAATACGAAAGCTGATGCGAATAATGACCCCCCAAAACTGATATCATTACGAACAACACTACGCACGAGGCGAACAGACTTCCGGGAGACCTAAAAGGCCTGGGGCTCATCCTGACTGGCACTGCTGGCCTGCATCCTTGCCACATATGGCAAACGACTTTAACGAAGAGCTCAGATGTACAGATGCTTCTTCGAATACTAACTAATACTAGTACTAATGCTACTACGCATACCAATACCAAGACTAATATGCATACTAGTACTAATGCTGATACGAACTCTATTACCATTACTAAACAAAACAAACACAATGCAGCAGCAGCAACAACAACAACAACTACTACTACTACTACTACTACGACAACTACTACCACTACTACTACTACTCCTCCTCCTCCTACTACTACTACTACTACTACGACTACTACTACTTACTACTACTGCTACTACTACTGCTACTACGAAAGCTCCAAGACTCGCTCTTAAACCCCAAACCCCAAAAGCCCTACAAATCCACTATAAAACCTTATAAAAGCCTATGAAGCGTTACAAACCCTAGGAACCCACTGTAAACGTTAAAACCTCCTATAAGCATCTATAAACCCTACCTTAACCCCAAGTAGCCTACCGTTTTAAGGACTTATATAAAGAAATCATATTAGGGAACCCTTGAAAAGGTAGGTTCCTTAGGGTCCAGGTAAACCCTAAACCGGCCTCCTGAGGGCCGCAAATGGTTCCACAGAGCGCAGCCAAAGCCTCGAGCTGCGCCAGGGAGGCATCCATAGACCAAGCCTCGCTTCTAGGGTTTAGGGGTTTAGGTTTCCTTTACAGGGGTCTATAAGGGTTCATTTAAGGGATCCTATAAGGAATCTATACGATTCTAGGGTTTAGGGGTTTAGGGTTTTTGGGGTTCAGGGTGTAGGGTTTGGGGTTTAGGGTTTGGGGTTTAGGACAACGCTGTTCATGCATATTGTGATCAGTACTGCTATTATGATGATTATTGTGATTATTCCTACTACCATATCTTTTTTGAATGGCTGTAGGGTCTTGTGACTCTTACAGCCTTGTCTTGATCAGAGCCCTTCTAGTATCCCTTATTATAGACCCCTTTAAAGGAAGCCTATGAAACCCCGATGGCCTGAGGTCGGGGGCCCCAGGGCCCTAGGGGCTGAGAAACTTCTGTTTCACAGAAGCTTTCCAGGAGTTTTTCTAGAGTTCAGGGTTTAGACGCCACCTATTATTTAGGGTATCCAAAAAGGGGCCCTAATTTTGACAACCACCCATGGGATCCTGAATCTACATGGCTAAGACCTTGACCCTCGGACCTTTGTCTCGCGATCAAAGGATGCAACAAGGCTTATCACATGGGGCCCAAAATAACCGGAGTAGGGATTGGGCAAAATATGCTACCATAACTATATACGGACTCATGGGTTGAATTGCTAATTGCGTTCGTTTTTCTTCCTGCAGACCTATATACTGAATGATAGTGAACCTGGATGAACTTATATAGTGAATCTGCTTCTTCCCCACAGGGGTTTCAGTTTCAGCAGGATGCGTAGTGCCCGGCGCTCCTAAACTGCCTACATCTCACCCAAACCTCAAAACAGACCCCACCTTAACCCTGAATAACCTACCTTTTTAGGGTTCCTTATTATGATTTCCTTATATAAGTCCTTAAAAAGGTAGGTTATTCCGGATTTAGGTAAACCTAGAAACCAACCCCAAACCCTATAAACTCTCAAAACGCAGACCCTGACAAGGACCCTGATCACCCCAGCCAAACTGATCCTAAGCCCCAAAGCCCGCCGAAACTGATGGCACCTTCAAAATGGGCGTTTTCGAAAACTGAGGGGTCCTTGTTTTGCGGTCCTTCTAAAAAGGATCCTACTATTCAGGGTGATATATTAGGGTGCCCTATTTTCGGAAACTCCCAACCCTAAGCCCTTTATAGAACCCTCATAGATCCCTTAAAGGAAGCCTTAAAGGGTCCCCTGTTTTCGGAAACTCCCACATGGACCCTCAAACCCTTATGGATCCCTTCAGGGAACCCTTGCGGTACCCTTTCAAGGAGCCCTTATGATACCCTTTAAAGGAACCCGTGCCCTATTTTCGGGAAACTCCCATTTCCGGGCCAGCGAATCTGAGCCTCCGAAACCCCTTAATTGAGGAAGATACATTAAATCATATAGGTGATCCTATTATAATTTAAGGTATATTCCTTAATTCAGGGATAATTATAATAGGATCCCTTATATGATTTAAGGTATATTCCTTAATTAAGGGGTTTTGGAGGCTCTGAGAATCTGAGCTTCTGGCGTCCGTCCAATCGAGGCCTCGGCACTTCGGGGTTTCCAGGCTTCGGGGGGTTTCGGGTTCTGGGGGTTTAGGGTTTTAGGGTTTAGGGTTGTAGGGCTTTAGGGTTTTAGGGTTTTAAAGTTTTTTAGGATTTTAGGGTTTAGGGGTTTTAGGGGTTTTAGGGTTTCAGGGGTTTTAGGGTTTTAGGGTTTAGGGTTTAGGGTTTTAGTGGTTTTTAGGATTTTAGGGTTTAGGGTTTTAGGGTTTAGGGTTTAGGGGTTTCGGGTTTAGGGGTTTAGGGCTTATAAGGTCTTGGGCTCAGATTTTGGAGTTCAGGGTTTAGGGTTAAGGGAGTTACGGAGTTACCTGGTTCTTAGTAGGGAAGCTAGACCTAAGAGTAACCTAGGAATAAAAAGGGTGCCCTTTTTGGTTTAAAGGAGCCTATAAGGGAACTGAACCTTAAAAAAGGGAATAAGGTCCTACTCTAGTGCTAGGAAGGGAGGAACGGATCCCTATGATAGATCCCTTCAGGTCTCTCATAGTAGTCCCTTAGCTCATTCCCCATTCCTTGCAAAGAGCCAGTAGTTATCCCTAGGGATCTAAGCGCTCATATACTAAGGCTGTTGGGCCCAAAGACCATACAAAATAAGGCTTTTGGGCTATCTTGATCCCTAGGGTATGAAGGTCTTCTAAAACTTGCTGGAACACGGGGTCTGGTCACGGATGATGGAGGGTCTTTTGAAGTTCTGTAAACACCCGGAGCAGCCAAACCCTAAACTCTTAGCCCTCTTGAGCTTGAAACGCTAAGCCCTCCTAAGCCCTAAACCCAAGATCCTAAACCCTAAACCCTAAGCCCTCCCAAACCCTCAGCCCTGAACCCTAAACCCTTGCCTAAGCCCTCCTAATCCCTCGGCCCGAGCCCTAAATCGATCCAAGGGGCACTTCAGCGCCACACGCACCGCAGTGCGAGTGTGCCGACCCCGGTTCCGAGATCTCGTGCCGTCCCCACGGCCTGGATAAGTGGTTGATACTTGGAGGGTCGGGGGACTTAGTAACTGGTTATTTTAGGGACTTCTAAGTACCATAACCCCAATTAGGGTCCCTTTTAGGGTACTTATAAGTCTACTTACTACCTACTTACTAAGTCCAAGTACAGGGGCCTCAATTGCAAGATACTTAGTATCGGGATTCGGAGTACATCTTACTAAACGTATACTAAGGAATCCCAAAATAGTATTGGTAGTGGTTCGGGCCCCTAGAGTCAACTTTTAGGAGTTTAGGCTTTAAGGGTTAGGGTTAGGGTT